GCTCCCTTTTTTGATTTCCGGATCAGGCCCTGAACAGTTGATAAAGGAGAATAACTTGGCCATTATCAGAAGTAGCTGCATTTCCACAAAGAGCTGGCACTAAACAAGAGTTTATCTCCACAACAAGACTGATAGAATTCGCACCAGATTATAATTCAATCAGACACCTGAAACAGCACACATATTGGCTGGTGGATGTGCAAAGCTCTTTTTCTTTAGCCACAGCAAAAGAAATATCTGGCGGATATTTCATGTACTCTGAATGCAGGGAATAAATGTTAGAAAATGCAGTAGGCTATGTCTCTATATAATTCATAATCATATTTTTATATAAATGTAATCCTAACAAAATGCCGTTAGTCCAAAGAGTCAACTATCTGTGACCTTTGCAATTATTTGATGAAACATTCCCAAAAGGCTTACTGCACTTTTCAAAATGTATTTCTTAGACTTTACGGCAGTCTTATTAGTAGCTAACAGGTCTTGCTATCCTCTTTGAACACTGGGGAAACTGAGGAATAAAGATTAAAGGTGAAGTCAAACTAAATTTATTTAAACACGAAGCTTCAATACTATCTGAAACACCAACCTTTGATATCAGAACTATTTTTCATGGCCAAAAGGAGATGAGTGTAGGGTTTAAGGGCTTCATTCTGGCAGCAGACAGCCTGGGGTTAGCTAGCCCACTGGCTTCACTGATTAGCTGCAATATCTTGGGCCATTTTTTTTAACTTCTCTGAGCCTAATCTCCTCATCTACAAAGTGGGGACAATGATAATATTTAATTTGTAATGTAGCTATAAAAATCTAATAAAATAACGTGACAATGTAAACAAACATAGTACTTGGCACATGATAGGCAGATGGCAAATATTACCGTTGTTTTTATTAGAACAGAATGACCCAAATTTAGTGAATCAGAGGCCTTGAAATAAGTATACACTTTTATATTCCACAAGCAAATAATCACGAATATTGCAATCTGATATTAGTTTCCTATTATGTTTCTACCTTTACTTTTCCAAATTTCTCCTTAGATTATTATCACATAGAAGCACAACTAGGAAAAGAAATACTACTCTTGTCCTCATGAGGCCTTTTAAACCTTTAACCTTCATCTGCAGTGACACAGAGGCTACTGCACAGTCTCTGGGGGACAGTCAGGCAGCCCTCTGCATGGACACAAGTCTGACAAGTGCGAGGCCTTTTGTCTTCCAAACTGGGCAGAAATCTGGGGCCTGTTACTGCCCCATTTGCCACTTGCATTTAATAGCAGGTGGGGAAAATGGAATGTGAAGTCAGGATTCTTCTCCATGTCGCCTGGTTTAGAAGTGCTCACCACTTGCAGATATCCCTTTATTGAGTTTAGGAAGGGGATTAGCTTTCTCAAACTGTCTCCTGGCTAGGCGCAGTGGCTAGCACTCTGGGAGACCAAGGTGGGAGGATCACGTGGGCTCAGGACTTCCAGACCAGCCCGGGCAAGAGTGAGACCCCTGACTGTATTAAAAATAGAGAAAATTAGCTGGGTATCATGGCATGTGCCTGTAGTCCCCACTACTCAGGAGGCTGAGGCAGGAAGATCGCTTTAGCCCAGTAGTTTGAAGTTGCTGTGAGCTATGATAATGCCACTGCACTTTAACCGGGGTGATAGAGCAAGAGCCTATCTGAAAAAAAAAAAATTATTATTATTATAATAAGCAGGATCCTAACTGGCCTATTTCTCTCCTTGTCTCATTCAGTCTATTCTCAACCCAGCAATCAAAGTGACCCCTTCAATATGTGGGTCAGATCCCACTCCACCGTCAAAGACTTCCATGGATTCCCTACCTAATGCAGAGGAAAAGCTGAGGCCTTTCCATTGGCCTGCAAGGCCCTGCATGCTCTGGCCCCAGGTCTCATCTCCCATGCCTCCCCCTTCCACTAGGTCTGTTGGAGTCACAGTGGCCTCATTGTTATTCCCCGAACACACCAGCCCTGGAATGCCCCTCCTTGAGTTATCTACAACAGGGCTTACCCTGACCACTATCCTTATCAGAAAATATCATAGAGTGGGTGGCTTATAAACATCAGAAACTCATTTCTCACAGTTCTGGAAGTCTGAGATCAGGGTGCCAGCACAGTCAGGTTCTGATCAAGGAGCTCACCTGGGTTGCAGACCACTGACTTCTTGGAAAGACCGTGAGAGAGCTCTCTGGGTTCCTTTTATAAGGGCACTAATCCCATTCCTAAGGGCTCCATCCTCATGACCTAATTACATCCCAAGACACTACCTCCTAATGCCAAGACACTGAAAGTTAGGATTTCACTGTATAAATGTGGAGTGGACACCAATGTACCAGTACGTGCATTCCCCATTAACATTTTCCTGCTCTACCAGGCACTTACCAGCTTTGAGTACTCTATAATTTTCTTGTGTATTATGCTTATTGTTTGTGATCTACAACAAAGATGTAAGCTGCATGAAAGTAGGGACTTTCATCAGTTTTGTTGACTGATATAACCTGAGTGCTTAGAAGAATGCCTTGCGCCTGGGCCAGTGCTTGATATATGTTGTTTGTTGGATGGATGAATAAAATGAATGAATGGGCAATAAACAGGCACATACACACCCAGGATCCCAGCAATGACAGCCATCTCCATAAGAAGAGCAATAGGCCAGCTGAGAACTGGCAGAAGGTGACTCATTTCCAGAGTGCAAAACCTCCCATTAACACCGTACAGACGCAAACAGCCTTGCTGTTTTCTCTAAGTGCTGACCTGAAAATGAACTGAAGATTTTGCTCATTTTAAAAACAATTTCCAGGACTTTTCACAGAACTTCAGACCAAGCTAAACTTTCACATTTTAGGATGCCTGCCTTCTGATCCTGCATCATCCACTAATGAGCTTTGAGGCCCTGGGAAAGCCAATTAAATTGGCAAAATATATGACAACTAATTTTCCTTCCAGACCGAAAAAAAAAAAACAAAAAAAACAATCTCAAGATTAGGAAAAAGGTGACAATGAGTCAAGCTCTGCTTGACCACACTTCTCCTAACCTCGGCCAATGATTTGTAAATAAACACCCACATTTTAATGGTTCAACCTAACAAGAAAGCCAACTATCCTATTTGGCCCATCTCACAAAGGAATGGAATTAATAGTTAGGTGTGACTCATCTAGAAACAGCTGTACTGCTTCAGGTTGATGAGCTGGAAGGTGGTCCTAAAGCTACATTAATGCTTTATTTTAACTTGGAACCACAGCCCTGACCAAGGGAAAACCTTTCTATAGAAAACTTTAAAATTGCTATCATTCTTGGGCTATTGAGAATAATGCTGAAATGAACATAGGAGTGCAGATGTCTCTTTGAGATACTAATTTCATTTTCTTTGGATACATACCCCGAAGTGGGATTGCTGGATCATAAGATAGTTCTATTTCTAATTTCTTGAGAAACCTCCATTATATTTTCAATATGGCCGTACCAGTTTACATTCCCACCAACAGTATACAGGGTCACCTTTTCTCTATGTCCTCACCAACATACAATCTTTATTTATTAATTATACCCAGATAAAACTGGGGGGAAAAGCCATGATAGTGGTTTCCCTTATGGTGGTAGTGATTGCTTTTACATTTTTAACCTTTACACTTACATTACTATACCTTTAGAGACCACAGTTAAAATCTTACTTTAATTTTCCAGAAATCACATAAAATATATAAAATCAAAGTGATCATCCAAAATGGATTTAATTATCCCCAAAGTACATTTTTGTTTTAAATTTGGAGATGAGTCATATGGGAAAAATATTCCTAGCAGCTCTTTTCATTTCCAAAGATTGAGTATTCATTATCAAATGACATGAAAATCTCATTAGTTTTCTGAGTTAACATTATTGTATCCTTTTTGGTCACCAATTGCATTCACTGTACATGCTCTGTCTTCTCCACTGGATTGTAAATGTCTTATGCATTACAAGAGTAACTTCTACCCAAGGCTCAGCTCTTTGACATAGTCATCACTGGATCCACACAGTTTAGCACAGTATTTGGCATATAGTAGCCACCTGATAATTCAGTGAATTTTGTGTGTGTCTGAAAAATGAGCAAGACAGTAAGTGGGTAAAAGGGCATTTTTAGGGATGTGATTACAAACATAGCAAGGAAAAATCAAACCAAGATGGCATTATAATCCTGCAGAAGGACTAACTGAATAAAAGTTCCAAAGACAGAAATCAGGAAGGTGAGAAGAAGGCAATCTGGGCTGGGCAGAGCAGCAACAGGGGTAGTGGTTTTGGTATCAAACTGAAATAATTTACTGAAATAATTTTACTGAAATTATTGGTAGGACAGCTAATCAGAGCTGTCTTATAGATTGTCAAAGATTCAGAACTTGGGCACATAGCTAAGTGTACTAGAAGAAGAAGAGAGGAAAACAACCTTTGCAGAGTACCTACTTGGCATCAGACACTGTATTAGGTGCTATAATTTATATTCAGAGTCATTCACACATGAGTGATAGACCACGACAAAGAATCCCATAGAGACTGGTTAGATCTTAGCTCTACCACTGTCAGCTATGTAGACCTTGGGACAGTTTACTTATCCTCTCTATAAACTTTTGTTTCGTTACCTAGGAAAGGAGGATAATAATAATGCCTCCCTCAAAGAATCAGAATAAGTGATATAATTCATAAAAAGTAAATAGCATGGTGCTTAAAATAAAAATGCAATAAAAGGTTATCAATTAGTGAACAAGACAGAAAACAGAACAATTGGTTTGGGGATGGTCCATATCAAGGGATAGAATAAAGATTTAGAGATTCTGGAAAGATTGAGACATATTCAGAAAACAGGAGAGAATATTGAAAACATAATATTATAGAAATCATGAGGGTTGAGGGTTTCCAAGAAGGAGTTACTCAATGAAATTTAGTCATGAGGATAAGGAAATGAACCATTTGGGCCTGACTGTTCTTCATGTACATAAAGCAAATTTAGACAACACTACGTACCCAGAGTTGGTCATCCATGCCTGGAGGGTTCTTTTTGATAAAAGCACCATAGTATGTAGCAATATTCCGGTGATGAGAATATTTCTTCAACATGTTAATTTCTTGTTTGATTTCTTCCTCTTCATCCTGTATTAGAACAGTAAATATTCTGTCATGGAAATCCATTGTCTTTTGTAAGATTCTGTTGTTCAACAACATCTATATCAACTAAGTAGTAAGTTTTTTCTTCTATGGTGACAAACTAGCATGATTATTACATCTGACTGCAAAGAAAAAGTTTACAAGACAACACATTGGCAGTCCAAGGGGGTCTTCTGTTTGTACAACAGGCAGACATAACATGCAACTTGCTGGAAAACAAACAAAAAACCGAAACAGCCCCTCATCTCTTCACCTGGAAGAGATCAATGTAGACAGGCTATTGAGATAAAATTCACCCAAGGCCTCTGGGAACTATATCCATTGAATACCTATCACTGATCATATCTGGTATAGGAAAGATTGAGGAAAGTGAAAAGAAAAAAACATAGGCTCTCAGATTTCAATTTGGTTAAGTTCATTTTCTTTGAAGCCTACTTTTATTGAAGTGCATGACTGAAGATGATGAAAGTCAGATGGGAAAGGGAGCAAGGGTAAGTTCTCTAGATTTGAGGAAGTTCACAAAGCAGGAGTACCCACCTCGCCTTCAGGAAACTAAACATGAAAAGAGAGGGCGAAACATGCTCGTGCTGAGGATGTAAAAAGAGAGAACTCTGCTGCAGAGTGAGTTTCCTGACATACAGGCTTCATTCATTCTGAGTTTTGATTTGGAGTCCACCAATCTGGACCTTTTTCAGAGGTCCTGGCAGTAATGATGGAGAGGGCGTGTCCTCCCATAATTTTATTTTATTGATGTGTACACATCAGTTGGACTGAAAAATAGTGTTTTATTTTTGAGGTTGATGGAACAAGTTCCTACCCAAGGATAACTGATTCAGAAGCAGCAGTGAGCAATGGCTCTCCCTGAGTGTAAGATATTACATAATGATGATCTAGAAGACCACCCACGGTGTGGCCCCTCCAGCTGCTACAGGGTGTCTGCATTCCTGGGCCATTCTGCAGCCTCCCATGTGCTGTCTTCTTCCCTGTCCTCTTCTTCACATAATTTTTACCCATCATTCCTGATTGAGGTTAACTGACCCTTCCCAGGGAAGTCTCCCTCAATTCTCTCAGGCAATGTCAAGGTCCCCCACTGTATCTGGTCTTAGCCCCCTATACTCCTTAACACACTTGCCGTATTTGTTGACATGGTATGGAGGTATGTACCATAATTGCCCCATTATGTGACTCTCTTTTCCATAGATTATAAGCTCTCCTCTGCTTTTAGATCTGTTCCAGAGTTCTTTCCCCAGCAGAGCTCCCTAACTTGGTTCTAGCCCCCTGGATCATCAGGCATCTCTAACTTCGTAGCACCTATCAGAATTGCCAGCCACATTTATCACTGGATTAAGTCTCTCTTCCTTATCAGCCCTTAACGATCATAAGCACTGGAATCCTGCTTGCTTTTGCTCTCTGTAACATCCCCAGCACCAAGCAAAGTACCTGTGAATAAATATGAATGAAAGAATGAATATATGCAAAGGGCCTAATGCCTAGCATGGCACTGGTGGTATTAGAAGGAACAGGTAAGAACAGCGTAAGGAAGAGTAGTGAAGTAGCTAACATTTGCTGACCACACATATTTACTAAAATAAGTTTTAGTAAAAAAACACAGGAGATTTTCAAACCTAGGAGAAGTAAAGCATGTTACATATCACATGGTTTAACTCAATTGAGTACTAGGTAATCTTAAAATAGAATGTACAATTGGGCTGCTGAGCTCAGGAGAAGCACATGTGCCGAACAGCAAGGAAGAGAGCCGAGGGGTGTGGGGCTGGCGAGGTGGCTGAGGCAGGGCTGGCACACTGCTGACCACCCCGTTCTTCCCTGCAGCCCCGGGAAACTGCCCCTGCCTCCACTGCGCAGGCCTGTGAGGCAATAACCTTCACAGACCTTCAACTTGTTGAAGGGCCCCTGCAGCACACCTCACGTGTCTTACTATGGTGCATATTAGCTATTTTAAACTCGCCTTGGGGTCAAATAATTGTGGGCGAATGTAGGATGTGAGCGGATGTACTCTGGGGAAGCCTAAATGGAAGGGGAGAAAACCAACCGGAGGGTTTCTGTGGGCAGCACAGCACCGGCAGCTGCTTCGATTAAAAAGGCAACTACACCAGGCAATAAAAGACACAGATCACTTTCCAACCACAGCCTGTCAGTCTCAGCTGCAGTCATTCTTACTGAGAAGTCAAGCTGCTTCTACTAGTATTTACTGCCCGTCTCCTGGACGTTGGGTGGTGTGGGATGGGGGTGGGGCTAAAAAAGCTTACCACATGATCAAGAAAATAAGAACTTATGAAACAGTTAAATAAAATAGTACTGGAGGTTAGAATAAAGGCACCACATTCTCCATCACTTTACAAAGGTAAAATGATGCAATAAAACAGTAAGAAAAGCTGTGCATTGCATCTAGCATCAGAAAGATGAGGGTGGACAGGTGCGTTGCATCTTGAGTTTGGGCACCACTCCTCTCTGGCTGTGGGATGTCAAAAAAGTAACCTATCTGTTTGGAAGCTACGTTTCTTACCTATAATGAGATACAGATATTATAAATTCCAGTATTGTGTGATAATTAAATAAGGTATGTGTGGGTTATAAAGTGTAACACAAAATAAGCATTATTAATCTTCTTAACCCAAAAAGTAAGTAAATCACAAAAGCAGGATGGCAAAAAATGTAAGTCATTTGAATTTTAGGTTTAAATTGCACTGTTTCCAAACATAATTATGGAACCACTGTGGGTCACAGTTATACATCTCTAATATACATCCTTGGTCTTGGTATCATAGGACCTTTTAAGTGAGGATGAAATTTATCAGGCCTTCAGGGCTACTGTCTATCTAGATTTTTAGGCTAGGGCACTGATGGCCCTAAAGTTATTTAGGGCCAATAACTAAAGTTATTTGGTGAAATAGAAAGGGGAGCCCTTACTAGTGACAAGAGTTCATTTAGCCATGCCACAAACAGTCCAGCCTCTCACTGTATGGCCCAGTGAGGGAGATGAGTGTTGATGCTTTCCCAAAAGACAAAAAACAACTGAGGTTAGAATTAGACTAAAAAGTTATCAGAGAAGAGTGTCCTCTATTTAGTAAATGTATTTATTATTCCTATGTCTTAAGTATTAAGCACAAGAATCAAGCTCACTAAATCAAGCTCACTAAAAAACGAATGACCGCTGGATCATAGTGAAAAATAAAGTAGTGGTACTAAATTGTTACAAATTTAAAAAGAGTAACTTTAATAAGCCAAGTCCAGTACTCTAGGAAGAACCATTACTTAATCAGAAGACTTCAAAATCTAGTCTGATTCATTATGTTAACTTCAAGCATGACACTTAAACTCTCTGAATGTCAGTTATTTTCAGCTATAACGGAGAATAAGAATACCTGTCTAAGCCACTTCTTAGAACTTACAAATGGTTAAGTGCTTATTTAAATATAGTTTTAGTATTTGGCCTACCTGGATCAAAGAGTGGAGCCCATTTCCCTCTCCTTGAATCTGGGCTTGGCCACATGACTTGCTTTGGCCAATGGGACATTAGCAAACAGGAAGGAGCAGAGGCCTGAAAAGTGCCTGTGCCCTGAGACTGGCCCTCCCCTATTGCTCGCAGAAAACCCTTCTGCCACCATACAGGAAACCAGGCTTGGCCTTCTGGGAGATGAGAAACCATGAGAAAAGACAGCAGTTTTCAAATTCAAGGGAATGGATGATTCCAGGCGATAATTTTAAGCCACTGACCACCTCCAATGGCAATATGATTGTCACCATTATGGTATAGCCATATATAGCCAAAGCCAAGCTTATATAACGTTTCCTATGTACCAGGAGCTGTGGGTACACTGTCTTATTTAGTATTCAATACAGCCCCATGGAGTATTTAATGATCCCATTTTACAAATGAGGAAAATGAGTCTCAGAGAGACTAAGTAGTTTATTCAAATTCACTCATATTTTAAGTGTTACAGCTCAGATTCAAGACCAGATTTTGTCTGACTCCAAATCCAGTATTCTTATTCCATACATCAAACGCCTAGACAGATGAAGGGCAATTACCCACGGTGACTAAAACCAAAGCTGCTAATCGAAAGAGTTTAGAGCATCTTGAACCAGGGCTGAAGAGAACCCTGACTTTGGTCCTCCAATTAAAAGAGCTTGTTAGCATATAATAGTATTTACTTATGATTGAATTCAGGGGATAAAGGAGAGATTTTAAGCTGCATATTTATTACACAGGTGAATACACTTTAAGTACCTACAATATACTAGGATTTAAAATTGAATCAATAAGACATTTAATATTAGTGTGCTCCGTAACAAAGAGTTTGCCCAACATTTAACTCTCAATCCATGGAACAGGAATAAAACTATGTAATTCCTAAAACAATCCAAGGGGCTGGTCAGGATAATGTGTAGAGAGAAGGCTGAGGTGTATAGACTCATAAACGCCACTATCCCACAGACGTGTGGACACTGGCTAGAATCACCTCTGCTCCCTGTTCACCTGCTCTGCTTTCATAGCACCAGTTGCCATTAAGCAGGTGTTTGTGTTAATTTATCTATCATTCTCTCCTTCTGTATTGACTGAATGGGACACAAAATTGAAGACAGTTTATTGTTAAAGGACCATAGACTATTAGAATTTGAAAGGATCATCACTATCATGTAGAATGTGGTTTAAAGAATTTTGAAGAATAATTTGGGCTACTGAAATCTCTCCCTGCAGTAAAAATTTTATTCAGGATGCCAATATATAGCAGACAAAAACTAAAGTTTTAAAATCAGTAAGCATTTAATTTTATAAGTTTAACTATGTAATATCTATTTATACAGTTAATCAATGAAAATAAAAGGATGTTTTAGTGAACATAGAATTTATGAAAAAAATTAAAAGGCACATATCAGCTTCAGTATCTGATAAATTTTCAGTTTTGTTTCAGTTCCAAAGGATGCAGAAAAACCTACATTTCCTAGGATAAATATTATTAGTT